CAAAAATTGATTTTGGATGAATAATTGAATTAGTTGACTCAAATTGATGGTGGTGATGTGTTGTCTTAATATCTATTAGTAATGTGTATAGCAGCTATTAGAAAAATCGATTAATATATGAAGATATTATTTATTTATGTCATTGTTAATGATAAAATAATTAAAAGTAGAAAAATTTTAAACATTGTTCATCAATAATGAATATTTATTTATTAGGATTTAATATTATTTAGTAAATAAGCAAAATAAAATTACAAATATTTAATTAAAAATATTGAAAGGATGCAGTGATTGGTTTTGGTCTATAATGTAATTAATTATTATTTAGATAAAAAAGCGTTAAATATATAGTTATTTGAACACTATTTGATTAGTAAAATTGACAAGATGCAAAACAGTATTAAATAAATTTATAATATATTTATGTTATTATTTATATTGTTTTAAATTGAATTAGATATATGGGTATACTCTAGTATACTAGAGTCTAGTCTCTTCTCAATTACGTTTCATTTTATGAATATTAGTTGGCAATAATTTAAGCTCGTTTCAAGCTTTGGGTAGTTAAGCTGATCAAATATCTAAATATCTGTAATTATAAGATAACTCGATTGTAATAAAATGAAAATCGAATAAAATTATTTTAAATACAAGTAAATTTATAATTATAGACATTTCTGTTGCAATATCAGAAAGTGTACTGTAATAAATTGCATAATAATTCAGAGACATCATTTGAAAGGGGGCAACTGGAGCATTCGCTCTAGTCTAATATTAATTATAAAATGTTTAACTTTTAAGGTCATTGCCATAATATTGATATTTAATAAACAAACAAATCTTTAATTAATTAATCTTTTATTTATTGATAACCGACCAGTTGCTGTGTCCAAGTGGGACAGTTGATACTTGGCGCCTGGCGCTCTCTCACACATTTAGATTTTAGGCACATCTATACACTGGTTCACTGTAAAATACGTATTGCTACGGATTATATGAAATTTATCATAACACATTAATATAATTTATGGACTGTGATAATGCGTACAAAATGTGTTGTCATAGACTTTTTACTAATTTATATACAGGCCCTCTTCACGTTCAGTGATACTTGAAAGATCGTAAAATAATCCAGGTTCAGTTCCAGCATTGAAGTCACCACTTATGCTGGTATAGACAGAACTAGAATGATTGGAGAAAAATCAGGCTATTAATTATTATTTTTATTGGCTACTCTATTTATTATTTGAATTTTAACTGTTTTAATTCTTAGACATTATTGGAAGAACACTAGATCTTTTATTTATTAAAACGATCCTCAAAACCTGGATAGTTTAAAGCAAAAGGTAGTTTCAGTAGTTATGATAACTTTCTTGTTTTGACGCGTAATTGTACTTTGGGGAGGAAATGAAAACAAGGCATTTATTTGTTWCCAACTATAATTCCAAACGTTTACATTTACCTAAACAAAATAAGTAAAGAGAATACTAATAATTCTGGGGGGAGGGGCTATTATTCACATTAGCGAGCTTAGTCCCCTCAAGCCCCCCCCCCTAGATACGCCAATGAGTATGAATTTTCCTTTATTCAAATGATAAATCAATCAGTTAGCTTACATAAGAACTAACTAGAATGTTAGACCAGGTGATTAATATTTTGGTACATTACGCAAAATAGATACCTAATGCATGCTTATCTCAAACGCATCTTTCAGCTACAATTTGACTCAACCTTGAATCAATACAACTTTATTTGATAAGATATTAGATTGAGAACACAAGCAATTTATTTATATATTTTAATTATTTGATCAAGATGTACAAACATTGTGAACCGTTTTGATAAGAACTAATGTGTAAAATTTAAAAATGAAGTTGTAATAACAAAACAATTTTTTAAAAAGCCAGACAAATCATAGTTATCAATTCTTAAATATGATATTAGTATTTTTGCTAACAAGGTAAAAGAGTATTTAAAAACATATTGTACTCTGAAAAATAAAAATGATTCTGAATGGAATTTATAAAAAAATTTAAATTGTAAGCCTCTATAGGTACGTCTTATAAATATTAAAATATACCTAACTATATATTAATATAAGCATGATACTGCAGTAAAGATTAATAAAAACAACAAAAAAATTACAATAATTTTTGTGAAATGTGTTTGTCTTTGACTTGGAGGAATTTACTCTCCATTCTTGTTGTAAGTACTGGAGTTCAATTGATTATGTTACGTATTAATCAACAAGGACGTTATTTATTCGATCCATAGATGCAGTTATTTGCTTGAACGGTAAACTGCGTAAAATGCGAAAAAATAAATTTTTATTGATGAAATCTGATTAATCATCAATATTGAYCAAAACTACGTTGTTTTATAATTCACATTTTCAATTAGTGTTTAAATGTCTTATTGTATATAAATTGTAGGTTAACTCGTTATTATAATTACAAAATAGTATTAATATGCTAGTTTTAATTACTTTTACATAGTAAAATATTCAAATTAAATAAAGCGTAGTAAATAATAATATGTACATACATATTTCAATCTATTGATCTGAAAATATTCAATAATTATAACTTTTTCATGACAAAATATCATAATGGTGCATTAACAATAACCAACAATAATTTTATATAATTTAGTTGCTTACATTTAAAATAAATATTTTACCAATGCTCGTAATTAATTTATATTAATTTTAATTAATTTTAATCCATAGTGATATAACATAGATACAAAGTTTTTTTAATTAATGTTTTTATAAGTTAAACTTTTAAACTAATATTATCACTAATTATTCACTGTTTATTAATGTTTTATCAAACATGTGTATAATGTAATTGCCGACCATTTTAATCATGATATATAATATTTCAAACAAGTTGAGTAAATTTATTCCCAAACATAAACTTATTAATCCTCCAATATTACCTGTAGCAAAATAAAATAAATTTATAACATCTTATAACAACAATGACTTGGTTAAAAAGTTTTTATAATATTAATAGTGTATTGTATAGGAGTTTGCAAATGTAATATTTAAATATGTATTTATGTCAATATACCATTTATGTCAAAGTGAGAAAACGAGAATATTCTACTATTCTACACAAATTTTCGAGAAAATCAATTTTCTTT